AATCCAGAAAAGTGGTTGTGTTATTGTCAGGCACCACAAAGACCAGGCTAATTTAAATGCATTTCTGTTGTTCTGTAGGCAAGAACCCACTCGATCAGATTCAGAACACTTGAGCTGCACTATGTTAATTAGTGTTCAAGATTCCCTTTATCCTGTGATTCCTAGCAGTCAAATATGGTGGTGTATTGAAGACTGCAAACCTAAAACATATGTAGTCATGATACTGGCGAGGGACTCTCAGCCACTCTGATGAATGAGTTTTTCAGCTCAAGTCAAGCTCTAACAGATAGTGTTTGACTGTGCCTTTCCATCACTAGCTGTCAACAACAGATAAGGAAGCTTGAGTGCTGTAGTCTCCTAACCAGTAGATGGTGCAATGGGCTAGGAAAATGCCTTTTTTTTGGGGGGGGGAGGAGAAATTCAAAATGCAGCAGTAAAGTCATTAACTGTATTTGCCAGCTCCTTCCAATATATTTTCCTCTAACAGACTCCTAGTAGAATTTAAGATCATTCCCTGCAAAATGATGCATATACTTTCAGTTAAGAACTTCAACTATTACAGATTTTAAATATTTAGCAGTCTAATTTATTGGTATTTAAACTGTTCATTGCTCCTCGTCCTCATTAAATGGAGTATACATTTAGTGCAGCAACAATATATCTTGCTCCCACGAGGAAACAGCTGATAAACCACTGCTGTCTTTTCAAATGGACAATGATCAGGTTCTTCATTCTCCTTTCTCTTCCTTCCTGGCTACAGCAGGATAGCTACTTCTTGGTGTTTTAACAGGTCATAGTGTGACCATGGGATTCAGAACCAACAGCATAATGCATTAAAACAGAGGCTAACTGCAGTAATTTCAATATGGACATGATAATAAACTAGGAATACTGAAAGCCAGCATGGTGTAGTGGTTAGAGTCTCAGACTAGGATCTGGGAGATCCAGGTTTGAGTCCCCAGTCTGCCATGGAAGCTTGCTGGGTGACCTTGGGCCAGGCACACACTGTCAGCTTAACCTACCTCGCAAGGTCGTTGTGTGGATAAAACAGAGACGTGGACAATGCTGTGAGCCACTTTGGGTTCCCATTGAGGCGAAAGGATGGGTATAAACAAAATAAATAAATAAATAAATATTTTTTAAATGGTGGAACCCTATTCTGCCAAAACTGTTGTGACCAATGCATGGCCTTATGAAGCCCAATTCCCCAGTGATTTCACTCTGGTCATGAAGGGTGTGCTGGGGGGGGGGGCTGTCTGGCCTTCAGTAAGCAGCTGCCTGGCCTGGATGCAGTCTGAGTGAAATCAATTAGAAAGGGCGGGGGGGGGGGTTGCCTGTTCCTTACTCAGCTCACACAAAGCAGCTGCTGTGCATGGAGGCTACGTGAGGATGTGGGCAAGAACCCGAAAGCTCCCCCCACCATGGAAGCAGCCCAAGAGATGACCCTGGCCACTGTTTCAACTTCCTTAATAGTGTGCTTGTCGCTGACCTTCTGTGGCTGTTGCTGGTCTCTTGTGGCTGCTGTAAGCTGTTCGCTGCTGCCACTGGAGACATAAGGCCAACTGCCTGTGGTGATGTGGAGGGGCCCTTTATATCCTTGTTCAGTGGACCTGAGGGAGAACTCCCTCACTGTGGTCTGCTGGCCTTCCTCCTGCCCCCTGTCCACATCAGGCCGAGCTTGACTGGCCAGGCTGGAAGGGGGCATGGGGGAGCCTGGCGGAGTCTGCACAGCCACAGAGGCTTCCCCAGCTGTTTCCCCCCTCAGCCACACTGCTAATTGGCCCTGGTGGCCGGCGAGCAGTATCTACCTCCTCCCCTTTGATGCAGGCCCACAAACAGGGCCCAAGGTAATTCTGGGACCCTTGCATATTGTGGGAACCCTATTCTGGCAAAATTGTCCTTGCTTGAAAGCCACGATGGCTGAAAATGGGCCACTGAAATATTGTTTATTACATACCAGTTCTTCTTTCAAGGGGCCTAGAGAAGTATACATGGGACTTCAGGGCAATTTCCCATTTGGACAACACAAAGTATATTAGCGTCAGAGATGGAATTACATTAGACTCCTTCCTGAGCACCAGTGTACTCCAATTAAACTATACGGGGAGGCTGCAGACCACCATAAAAACAGTTAAGTATTTTGCCTAGATGGCCACTGGTCTTTTATTATCAATGCTATAAATATTAGGGGTGGGCATGAACCAGCTCATGAGCTAAAATTCGTCATGAACTTGGGCCAGTTAGGACCCCCAAACATGGTGCCTTCCCCGATCATTTACTGGACTTTTGTCTGGTTTGGCTGCTCAGGCTATTTAAACCTAACAGTTGAGCAGTGTGGGTCCGCAGCTGACCTGTTAGTTTTAAGAACATAAGAACATAAGAGATGCCAATGTTGGATCAGGCCAAAGGCCCATCCAGTCCAACACTCTGTATCCCACAGTGGCCAGAAATACCAGTGCCATCAGGAGGTCCACCAGTGGGGCCAGGACATTAGAAGCCCTCCCACTGTTGACCCCCCCCAAGCACCAAGAAGACAGAGCATCACTTGCCCCAGAGTCCCTATCTATACCTTGTGGCTAATAGCCACTGATGGTCCTCTGCTCCATATGCTTATCTAATTCCCTTTTGAAGCCATCCATGCTTGTAGCTGCCACCACTTCCTGTGGCAGTGAATTCCATGTGTTAATCACTCTTTGGGTGAAGAAGTACGTCCTTTTATCCGTTCTAACCTGACCGCTCAGCAATTTCATGGAGTACCCATGGCTGTGAGCCATTTCATTTAAATGGCTGTGAGCCATTTCACAAGTCAGTTTCACTTCCACCCACTTTGAAGCAGGGGAAGTGAAATGAACTGCTGAAACGGTTGCCAGCCGTTGCAGCCTAACAGCTAATGGGTGCACCTGCCCCGCTGCGTTTGGAAGTGGGGGGGAAGCAAAATGGACCGGTGAAATGGCTGACAGCCATTTAAACCTAAAAGTGGGGTGGGTCTGCCTGTCAGCTGTTAGGTTTAAATGGCTGCGAGCCATTAAACCTGTTGGTTTCATTCCTCCCCCGCTTGGAAGCAGGGGAAGTGAAACCCTTCCCAGAGGATCTCCCCCTTTCTCCCAGCCATGGCTTACTGCAGCCAGGAGAAACGGGGGACCAAACTCAATGGTTCGAGGCCTTACTGGACTTCAGTGGCCTCCGAACCGAACCAGATTTTTTGGGGTTCATGCCCATCCCTAATGAATATATTAAAACAAATAAACAGTTATGTTTTATACACCTATATTAAACCACTGTAGCTGTCATGGGTTTCTGCAGAGAATAACATATATTTTAATTTTGTGGAGTACTGAGATTTCTCCCTAACCTCTCTGCTCTTATAAGTACAATTCTCAGCTTTCCCTGGGAAGATGGTATCACTGTTAAATCAGGATCTGTATTCTAACTCGTATTTTATACGAGCCAAAATGAGTATGCACCAATGTCCTATGTATACAAGAAATACTCTCTATTTTGAATCTGTCATCCTTTGTAGAGAACTCACTTCCTCTCATGACCCCAAGTCAATGTCACCAAAGCTTTTTCTGAGGGGAACAAAATTTTAGAAAACAGATTTTCTTCTTCAGTTCTATACCATTAATGAAATGGGGAATTTATAAATGTCTGCTGGTTGGGAGTATAGCTTTTTGAGACCTTTTCTGAATACTGATTCTTCTTGCCACTGATAATAACCGAATAGGAATTGCGTGAACTTGGCTCATCCAGGCGTAGCAGATAAACGTCTGCCCTAAAAGAATGGCTTAGTTGAATGTATGGTACAAAGGCCACTGGTTTGGGGCAACGCTATTTCACATGAGCCATTATTTACATACAGCAGGGCATTTATCAAATAATGCTAAAACTAAAGAACAGACCAGTGAAGCCTGATGAACAAACTGCAATTCTGTTTCCTCTTTCCCAGAGGAAATTCAGCAAACAGCAAGCTCTGGCTGAAAGCCTGTGTTGCACTAGTCTAGGGCTACCAGCTCTGGGTTGGGAAATACTGGGAGAGCTTGGGGGTGGAGCCTGAGGAGGGCAGGGTTTGGGGAAGGGAGGGATTTCAATGGGGTATAATGCCGTAGAGTTTGCCTTTCGAAGTGGCTATTTTCTCCTGGTGAACTGATCTCTGTCACCCGGAGATCAGTTGTAATTCCAGGAGATCTCCAACCACCACCTGGAAGTTGGCAACCCTGCCCACCACTGTCACTGCTGAAGCCATCAAATGAAGCACCAGGCGCCTTCCCAAGTACTTGTAGCTCTTGCTGAAAGCTACAGCTTTAACTGAGGGAACGACCAGGCCCACCACTGAGGGCAGCAGAGGAAGCAGCAAGCACCTGAATCCAGCTTAGGTTAAGGGGTCCATAGTTCAGGTTCCAACTGCCAGCTATGGAGCCATCAGAGAGAAGACAGGAAGTGGCCAACTGAGAAGGTTTTCCCCAGTGAAAATGTTTAATCAACTGCGATTGTTATTTATATTGACTTCTGATTGCTGGGAGCCAATATTTGACTGAAAAGCCGAAAAAACAAATACAAAAGAAGGTGAAGCTCTTTCAAGCAAGCTTCTGATGCCTGATTCTTCTACAGTCTCTGACTGAGAACATAAATGGGAAAACTCTGCATACATATGGAGCATGCATGCGCATTTCCCTCTCTAGGAGGGACTACAGGCAATCTGTCTGCACACAAAGTTCTCAGGTTTACCAGTGAGGCAAGCTGTTTCATCCGAAGTTGCTACAGGACACATCAAGTTCCATCCTATTAACACTGGCAGCAATATTTCAATTATTTGCAGAGGTTTTTTACAATATATGATTTCTTTTTGCCTCACCATTTGCTAAAAGAAAAAAAAAAATCCCTGGGTACCTTATGGCTTACTAGTCAGCATACTCTTTCAAACTGTGCTTTAGGCTATTATCCGCACAAGCAGTTAGTGCAAACAGCGGTTTCCGACAACAACAGCAACAAAATTCAAATACCTCTTACAATCAGGTCTGCAGCAGCCGATAGCTTGTCCACACTTGTTTGCACCATGCAGACGTATTTTCCAGCATGATTCAGCTGGATGCTTCTGATCATCAAATCACCAGCTGAATCCTGCTGATAAAATAGGGGAAAGTGGTTACAATGACTTTTTAATGAGCTCTAAACATCATTATCACATGAAGGACACTGAGACTAATGGATTTATTTTACATCGGATGATGAAAACATTTGTAATGCAAGCCATTTTAAAATCTGTGCGTCTTTCCTCGGAGATAAGGGCTGGAAACAGGGTTTCCTTTCAGGGACACAGGAGCTCCGGGTCAGTCAAACCGTTTACCACAAGACGTGATTTGACAAAATGCGAGTCAGGCAGGGCTTTGCTCCGCTGCGCTCCAGACTTCCAATTTGGAGACTTCATTGGTATTCAGATGTCTGCTTTCCGCCTACTTCCACTTAACAGGAGAACACCGACCCAAATTATGAGGCATCTGCAGTCCTTGCCACAGCCAGTGTTTTCGATTGCCTGCCGTTTTTGCATTAAAAGGTCAGGAGGACAACACTCTCTGAGGAAATTTTGCATCACCTGGCGTGGAACAACAGACAATTTGTTTTTCCCAATGCCAAGCGCTCATGTCTGATTAGCAATTGTATGGAACTAATTATGGTTTTGCATGATCGCGTGGCTCCAAAAATGTTCCCTCACAGTCCATCGGGTACAGTGTTCAACCAGTTAGAAATCTAAGAATAAAATTGCAATTCCAGGCTTTTAATTGAAGAATATTAATACAGCGCAGATTTTTGGGGTTTGTGGCACTGTTAAGTATAATTGCTGCAACAGCTGTTGCTGCTGCAGCTGTGGTCCCTGCAGGGAAGAACTTTTAAGTGATGCATTTCATCTTGCACAGATTTTAGTCTTCCAACACCTGTCTGGCAGTAGAGGAAAGGAGTTAAAGCTTTCAAACTGCAATTTTCTGTCCTACTTTCAGGGAGGAAATATCAGTCGCCCAATGTCTCAGACCTGGGACAGCTAATACCAGGAGGCCGAGAGGAAATTAGTAGCTTCCAAGCCTCAGCTCCCCATTTTTAAATGGCTGATGACGATTTTACAGAGGTGCCTTCAGGGAAAAAGTAAGATGGCACACTATTCCAAGAAGAAGTGTGACATAAGTCCTACTGGTGTTTAAAGATGAACAGAATTTTCTTTTTCCACAACATTAATGAAACTGCAGTGGAATTAAGAAAAGAAGCTATGTTGAATCAGGCCAATGGCCCACTCACTCCAACACTTTGTGTCACAGTGGCCAAAACCCAGGTGCCATCAGGACGTCCACCAGTGGGGCCAGAACTCTGCTGTTTTTTGTTCCTACAAATTCTGCTCACGGCAGATAGAGGCGGGTGATGACAAAAGGGTGAACAGTGTATGGGGGTTTGCTGTTGGGAATCATTTTTTTTAACCTCAGTATTTCTTAAATTACTGATATCTATAAATTTTCAAAATGGTTAAATATTTGCAACACAAAAGTGCAGTGTTTAATGAATTAGTTCCATACATATAAACACAAAAGTGTTTATAGGCTTAATGAACCTATAAAGAAACAAAGTAAGCTTACTTCTGAAGGCAGGCATGATAGTATCTTTATGCTTCCGCATGCCGCCATGCTGTGCCCCCCCCCCCAAGCAAGTGCAACTTAATATCATACTCATAAGGGACAGAAAGATGGGGGGAAACAAATAAGCCCCAAACTCTTTTTCTGACTAAACTGCATTTGAGATAGAGATTCAAACAATTTTGCATACTGTTGGGCAGGTTCAACCAGATGAGGTCTGGGGCACAAAGAGCTTCTTAGACTCCCCCAAGAATCTTCCACTAGTTCAATGGAGTTTTGCATGTGTTCCTTTCGAACAGCTTCTCCTCCATGCCATGTCACAGGTTGCTTTTGTAATGTCTCAACTTTTTCAAAAGGCAGTTTGTCATGCAGCTTAATGGGTTGCTATCCATTAATAATGTCTGAAATTTCTTGGCCTTATTGGACATGTTTCATGATTCTTTGAACCATGGTCCATTTTGTCAAATGCAAGAAATCTGAGATCTTCATTTTCCTTGCTGGAGAAAATAATGAATGGTGATTGGGATGGGCTCCTGGAGCAGCAGCGTAGCTGCTACAACTCAGTGTTTATATGGCAGCATTCCTTGTAAAGCTAAAATTAGGTGCCCTGAAAGACAAAGAGGCAAATTCTTTCATATTGCCTATTATGCCATCACAGCTAGACAACCTTCAAGCAGGATGACCTGCATTAGGTTTGCTGTAAACCAGGTAGCTATCAAGTGCCTTGGGAGGTGGTGGATGCTCCTTCACTGGACGTTTTCAAGTAGAGGCTGGACGACCATCTTTCAGGTATGTTGTGGGGCTTTCTTTTGGCTATGCTCCTGCAGTGTGCAGGGGGTTGGACTAGATGACCTCCCTTCCAATTCTAACATTCTATGATTCTATGAAGAGGCTTCCTGTAGCCTGCCTTCGAGGGGCCAGCCCAGCATGGGGGGGTAGGGGGCATGGAGCCCCAGGTTTCCCTTTGGTCTGCAGCTTGAGTTGGAAAGGGACTGGCTGAGGGTGGTGTGCCAATCTGGAACTCTCTCTCGGTGAGTAGCCATTGATAGACCTATCCTCCATGAATCTGTTGAATCCTTTTTAAAAACTGTCTATGCCTGTGGCCATCGTGACATCCTCTGACAGTGAATTGTATATTTTAATTACTTGCGTAACAAAGTATTTCCTTTTGTCCATCCTGAATCTACTGCTTTGTTGGATGCCCTTGAATTCTAGTATTCTGGGAAAGGGAGAAAAACATCTCTCTCCCACTCTCTCTACTCTGTGAATACTTTTATAAATCTGTACTATACCCCACCACCGTCATCTCTTTTCCCAGACTCTTCAGCCTTTACGGATAGGAAAGGTGCCCAACCCCTTAATCATTTTAGTTTCTCTCTTCTGTATTTTTTTTCCAGCTTGGATCTTAACGGGTTAGTGTGTTAGACCTGGGTTTGAATCCCTGCTCTGTCATGGAAGCTTGCTGGGTAACTTTGGTCCAATCAATCACTCTCAGTGTAACCTACCTCGCAGGCTTGTTGTAAAGATGAAATGGAGAAGGGGAGCATGATGTTGTAAGCTGCTCTGGATTCCCATTGGGAGAAAAGCAGCACATAATTTAATAAATATATAAATATAAAATCCCACAGTTATTTAAAATTTGATCTGTTTCATCAATGAAATCCCCAGAATACACTGGGAATAGCTTTGTGAGATTACTAATATTAATACTTACCCCTCCAACTCTTTCAAAGTGATCCCCGTCTTTTTCAAAGTCTATCAGGCGTCCATTAAATGACCAGGTAAACATAATATCTAGTGGGTGATCATGAGACACCTGGCAAGGCAGAAGAATACTTTCACCAGCAGTGACATCCATGCTATTAGGTGCTACTATAAACTGTGTTGGATCTGTAAATAACGGACAGAAAAGGAACCAGTGAATTTATCACCTGGTAAAAAACCCTACACATTATTGCATGTAAGTAGAAATAAACAACTGCAATTAACACATGGACTTAATAGCTGTAGGGGCTTCAGAATGCATGGTTTTGCATGGACTTGAAGCCTTTACAATTTGCACTTACAGTCTCAAACAGCAGAGGCTTAGTCTAAAGGTAACTTGCAGCAGTACAGTGCTTTGCTATTGTGCTGTCTGCACTGCCAACTCAGAGGACGGTAACTAAGTTCATATTGTGCATGTTATAGAAGTGCTTACGTATTGATGGTACAGCTATAGGACTGGCTCCTACCAGCTTTTCCTTTAATACATGGTGGAAGATGGGCCTGGGCCCTCCAAAAGGCCATGCCAGGGATTGTGAGACTTGCATGGACAAAAGGCTGTGTGAGTTTGGCCCTCCCCCTTATCCATTTTGTGCTAGCAGAAAAGCTACTAAGATCCAACCCACAGTGAATTTTTTTCTTTGTTGTAGCATAGCACATGATGAATTAAAATTAGGAAGTCAACCAAATTGTCTTAACAAATTTGTTGTCCAAATATAAGAAAGTATTTTTGACTTACATAAAAGATTATATCTTTGTAGTGTGTTTTCCTTTTTTTTTTTTTAACAACCATTGTATTCTCAACTAGTAGAAGCCCCAACCAGCCAAGTTCCAGAATGGTGGTTGTGTTGGTAGCAGACACAATGTATCATGGTATCCCAGAGTTAAAGGACACAAACTATCCAAAGTCAGGCACCACTTTAACTTTCTCCCAGTGAAATCTATAGGAAACCTATAGCAGAAGTGCTTTACTCTGACAGGCCCCTGCTATGACAGGTTTACTATGGCATTAGCTTTCACACAATGTATGAAATATAGAAGAAAGTGACAGGTACATGTACTAGGCTGAGGTAAAACTGAAGCTGAGGCAAGTTAACAAAGTAAGAATAAATATACAACCAACAAAAAGAACATGTGATAACTGTTTTGGCCTTGAGTTGAAAGTGTATTGATTGAGCAACATTTGCAAAAAGCTTCAAAAAGAAAGATTCAAGCAATTTTTACTGTTTGATGTATCTTTTGAAACCATCCACATACATACACACAGCTTGAGGTTATTATACTAGTGTTATAGGTTTTATTGTTATGCATCACTCATGAAGAAAACTGCAAAACTGTGAGAAGAAACTAACTGCCCTATAAATATAAATAGCTGAATATAACTAGGGATGCAAACTAGTTCCAGTTGTCTGGGAATCAACAATCAAGCTACTTTCAGAGGGCTTTAGGTGAAGGTTTTAGGTGAAGTGCAGCCCCATCCAAGACAAGCTGACTCATCCCTCCATGCTTGGCTAGTGACCAATGGTAGCATCTTTGTCTTATCTAGATTTAGCTTCAGTTTACTGACCCTCAACCAGTTCCTGATATTAATGTATATAATTTCTATCAGGCCGTTCAGGCACCACTCAAAGATTATAACAAAAACGAAAACAGCCAATATAAAAAGCACAATGTATTATGTATTTAAATGTATGGCATTTGAAACCTTGGAAACTAATCCAAAGGTTGTTCTCGGTTACTTACAATAAAAATACAATGAATCAACAAACTATATAATACTACGTGATAAAATAACGAAGATTTGTCATTAACGGCACCAAATTCCTGCAATGGGAAACAAAAATCTTTTTAAACAAGAAATTTCCCCTCTGTGAGATAGAAGGAAAGCAGCCAAATAGCTTCTCTTGGAAGATAGGTCCATAGTTCTGCCACTCAAAAGGTTCTTCTTTTTGAAGCCTCTCAACAGATTTCAGGTTGTGGAAGCACTTGAACAAAGACTCCTTGGCTAATGCTAAAGCTCAAAAAGGAAGTGCTTCTTGTGGAGTTCTTGTGGAGTACCACTTAGAGCTTTAAAGAAACCCCCTCCCCCAAAAAAAACTGAATGCAAAAAAAAAGTACTTTGAATTGAGCCCGATACCAAGTGATAATCAATGCAGATTTTTAAAGAATTAGAGTCATGTGTCCAAGCAACAGGTGTCAATTAACAGCTTGATCCTCTACTATGGAACAGTCTGAAGGCAAACAGGAGTTTTAGCTCTACGAAAAGATGCTGAATAGAATCATTAAATGATTCCCAGCCTTCCTTGAAAGAACTTGTTTCATTATTTGTTTAAACTGGTAGCATAGTTCATGGGCTTTCAGTGTATCTGTTAAGAACGCAGAGATGTATTTTTTGAATCATCAACTATTTCTGGACACTAGCAGCTAACAGGCAGGTCATATGCAATTATGGATACAGATTCACCTAGTTTCTCACCTTTAAAGAAGTTTGAGCCACATTAGATGTTACATGCCTTAGAGGGGCATTCCAGGACAGATTATCTTGTCTAAAGTAATACATGGTATGAAGGAAGACAATGCGAAGAAATTTCAGAGGATATTTTTGTCTACTTGGAAACCGTATATTTGAAACAGGGGCCAAAGGTTACAATGACTTCATTTGGTGCTTAGTAGAATAACACTTATTTGCAGTAAAAATCTTTTACCAGTGGTTCCCATTGTTCATTTACTGCTAGGGTTGCCAACTCTGACTTGAGAAATTCCTGGAGACTTGGAAATAGTACCTAAAAAGGCAGAGTTTTCGGAAGGGAGAGACCTCATTGAGAGTGTGATGCCAGAGAGCCCGCCCTCTAAAGCTGCCATTTCCTCTAGGGGAACTGATCTCTGTAGTCTGGAGACATTTAAGCGGTCTTTAAAATCAAACAGCTTGGAATGCCTCCTTCTCACTCCTTCTATATCCTTCAAATCCCAACGTGGATCCATAGTGAAAAGGAGAGAGAGGAGGTGATGGAACAGGTGACTCTGAGCCGTATAGATATAAAAAGAGACTCTGAGCAATGTGGTGATAGTGATCAGCAACCCAGGGGATTTATAAATGCATTCACTTTATTTATTTCATTTATATCCCACCTTTCTCCCCGACCGGAAACTTAAGTGGTTGACATGGTTCTCCTCTCCTCCGCTTTCTCATCACATCAACAACCCTGTGGGGGTAGATTAGGCTGAGAGTGCACGACTGGCCCAACGTTGCCCAGTGAACATCCATGGCAGAGTGGGGCTTGGAACCTGGGTCCCTCAGACCCTAGTCCGATGCTCTGACCCCCGGCAGTGGCACCAAAGACAGCTCTTGTGGTTGCCCTCCAGGTCCCACAAAGTGAAAAGGGAGTATGGAGTCCAGTACTAATAAAAAGAGCCACATGTGAGTGTGTGTAGGTTTGCTATGTAATATGTGAAGATGAAAAAGTACATAGATTTGTTCTCATGCATGTCTTTACCAGCCATAAATAAATAAATAAATAAACGGATGGGGTGATTGTGCTTGCAGGTAACATCAGACAAAATGCACTACTGTACAGGAAACACCTGCTTTCACCCAAGACTGAGACAGAAACACTGATCCCCCTCAGGTTTGGTGGGGGGATGTCTCCAATTTTCTTGCAAGATCTAAGTGTTTCATTTCCATTTCTTTTGGGTGAAATATTACATGCAATTTTAAATAAAAGTAATGGAACAAAGACTAAAACCACTTCTATTGAAAACTGGTGACAGATATATGCATAAGTTTCACTGTGTTGACGTATGAACAGTGCCCACAGAAAGGGTGGAGTCTTGGAGGTAACCCGTAATTTCTTGCCCGGCTCTATCAGGGACTCGTTCAAACTAAGGGAAGGTAAGAGAAAATCTTCTGATGAATATCTAGACATAGCCACCTCTCAATAATTTGCTGTGTCACTTTGGGCAAGTAAATTAATTGCATTGTTCCTCAGTTTCTTCTTTGGCACAAGGAATCAACATTAATCCACTTGACAAGAAAATGAGAACCCGTTAATGAATATGAATAGAATGAGAAGTTTTTCTAATGAACTTCAAAAACAGAGAGAAGAGAGCTGCGGCAGCCAGAGGGAGCAGGTTCAGAATTCATCACTCAGAGCAATGATTTGTCCCACTACACGTGAGTTCAGTCACAGCTCCGTTGCCAAG